GTAAGTGACCACCTTACCGCCCTTCGTTCTGCGTTTTCCCGCCTATACGGGCACCGTTTTGCGATCGCATTTGCGATCGCAAAAACGGCCTCGTAGAGCGAATTCATCGCTCTATGAGGCACCCGTTGTGCGAGGCACCACTGTACTTGGATGTTTTCTTTTGAAAGGGATTAAAAGGTAAAGGTAAAGGTTCCCCTTGACAATTTTTGTCCAGTCATGTTCAACTCTAGGGGGCAGTGCTCATCCACGTTTCCAAGCCATAGAGCCAGCGTTTTGTCCGAAGACAATCTTCCGTGGTCACATGGCCAGTGCGACTTAGACATGGAACGCTGCTACCTTCCCACCGAGGTGGTCCCTATTTATCTACTCGCATTTGCATGCTTTCGAACTGCTAGGTTGGCGGGAGCTGGGACAAAGCAACGGGATCTCACTCCGTCGCGTGGATTCAATCTTACGACTGCTTGGTCTTCTGACCCTGCAGCACAGGCTTCTGCAGTTTAGCCCACAGTGCCACCACATCCCTAATCCTTGAAAGGGATTAGTTTGTAATAAATTAAAAAAGATCAAGAAAAGATCCCAGTTTAAACTCCATTTAAAAAAAAACAGTGAAAGAAAATGGGAAAAGTCTCAAAGAGATCGTGAACAATGGCTTAAAACACTGCTTGCACTTCCATGCCCAGTACTAGTAGAATGCATGAACAAGAAGTTCCCTGGAAACACTACTCTGAGCATTATTGGAAAGTGTGACAATACAAAATAAAGCGAGATTTGAGGGGAGGAACAGACATGAAATTACCTTTAGGAGGATGTTTCTGCACTTGCTCTGGTTCTTCCCTAGTTTCTTCTTTCTCCTGACCTAGAAACAGATGCTCAGGTTCAATCATTTTAGAAGTTCTTGAAGTTCCTCTTGTACCCCAGGCTCAATTTAAAAAAAACACTTCCATCTATCCAATCTAATTTCAAAGGACGTAGCGCCCCTGAAGAAAATTTAAAATGAGAGCAAGCGTCTAATATGCTTATAGTTCAAGCTCCCCCCCCCCACATCACAGAGGACTGGAAGTGGCAGAAATTGTCTTCTCTTGGTCCTACGCAGGCTTGCAGAAGCCAGAGCTCTCATTAGATCATTGTAATTTAATTATCACAGTAATTATAATCACCTAATGCTATAGCCATTAGATAATTAATTTCTGGTAGAAAGAGAAACCTGAGCAGAGGGGCACTATAAAAACAATCAGATTTAGATCTGAATGTAGCGCATAGTAAGCAAAGGGGTACTACAAAGTGGTCTACTCTTTCTCCTATATTTAATTTCTTTTTAAACAATCCCGCCCTCTAGTTGGATGAATCCTGCCACCCTCCAAAATTAGCCCAATAATATATAGCAATCCTTCTTTTCGCAAACAACGCAGCACCTTTCTCATGATCCACAATTGGTCTTGAACAATCCTTAAAGATTTGTTGTAAACTAAGTGTTGTAAACTCAATAGCCTAGAGATAAGCTATCACATATCAAAGTTTGTTCGGTTTGACATCTTTTAATCAGAAGGTTTATGAACCAGGTCTCACAGAAAATATGTACATTTGGGGCATTTTTGACATGTTCTGTCACAAGAACTGTATGGCCAGAAAGGGTAATACCCTCAGGGCATAGAAAGACGGCAGCACAAATGAATAATTGGCAGCATATACAGTATATTTTTTAAAGGTATTGATTAATTTAGTAGCCCCTCAGGGCATAGAAAGACAGTACAAATGAATAACTGGCAGCAACTTCTGGAAGCCAATTTAAAAAATCACCATAAGCATGATCAGTTGCATTCTTGAGTCACAAGTCTTGGGGTAAAGGATTTTAACAAAATAAAATAAAACAAATAATGTCTATAGAGTTTTCTTACCTTGAGGCAGTTTGCCTTCAAAAGATACGCTGTTTGCATTAGGCTAGGGTCACTAGGCAAGAGGATTAGGGCCAATGGCACGCACACACTCTTGATAAAGAATAGCTTTCGATATGCATTAGGAATTGTCAATTTTTGTAGCCCTCCCCATCTTTCTTATAGCTATGTTTTAGCCTCTGTATGCATAAAATGAAATCAGTTCCCCAACCCCCTGCATTCAAGATGTTTTGAAATACAATGCTTGACCAAAGTATACACTGGCTGGAGCTGGTGACATCCAAGGAGTCTGGGGCGCACCTAGCTGAAGTGACATACAGATAGGAGTCAAGGGATTTCCTCTCTCCTTGCATGTTCTCCTCTTCTTCCTCAGCCTGGAAGGGAGCCTTAGAACAAACTGCACAGAAAGTAGGACCATTCTTCCTCCCATCAGTACAACCTCAGTCTGCCCTATCCTAAATGTCAAAAAACAAATACAGTACTTGCAAATGTCTCTGGAAATACTTCAAAGCCTGAATAACTTGTCCAGAAAGAGCAGCCAATGGTGTTCTAATGAGGCAGCCAAAGTTCAGTCGGTGCCGGTGCCAAGAAAAACACACACACATGTGGCTTATTTATTGTGTTCGGTGTCCCACCACTCGAGGTGACTGCTTAACTGGGCTAGTTCTGCTCTTCACAAAAAACCCCTTCAAGCACTGTGCCTGAAAGTATGCAGAGGGGCTCTGGGGATGGTAAAGGGCAAAACGGGCGGCAGAGATGGGGGAACATATGTAATCCCCCTGCTCATGATCCTCCCTCTTCCAAATAGACCATCAGTCAGATTTCTTCACAGTTAGCACACATGTAGCAAAAGAGGATTGAAAGCGTCTTCACTTGAAGGTACTCACAACAGAGGCTGGGGACTGAACTGTGACCCGTCAAGGCAGTTAGCCCAAAGGACCTACAAGCTCCTCTTCAAAGGTCTAGCTAACGTCTGGGTAGCAAGGTGACGTATAGGTGTCCCCCCACATCCCCATCCCCTAACTCAACCCTCTCCACACTTTCAGGCTTAATGCCTGAATGGGGCTGAAGATCTTCTCAAAACCTATTTGCATGTTGCTATTCTTCTCTTGCTCTGTTAGGCATCCTATAGCAGTGGTTCTTAACCTTTGTTACTCAGGTGTTTTTGAACTGCAACTCCCAGGAACCTCAGCCAGCACAGCTGATGGTGAAGGCTTCTGGGAGTTGCAGTCCAAAAACATCTGAGTAACAAAGGTTAAGAACCAGTGTCCTATGGGAACCACCTGAGAGAAGACAAGAGAATGATGAAATCAGCATTCAAAGCCAGGAGTGGGCTACATGCAACCTGGGGCTCATATGCAATTTCATTATTCTGCTTCTGCAATCTCCCCTGGATGACTTCTGTTGCAATTCTGATATGAAAATGTATTAAATATTAAGGTTGTACAGTACTGTATAGTTAAAAGTAAAATGGCTGGTTGTTGTGGGTTTTTCGGGCTCTTTGGCCGTGTTCTGAAGGTTGTTCTTCCTAACCATTCTGGGAATATATATATGGTTAGGAGATTCTCTGAGAAGTACACATACACACACAAAACAATTCTGGGAAAATATATATATTTTCATATATATATGAAGTCAGTGGCTGTGCTGAAGAGATCTCTCTGTCATGATTTTTAACTTACTAAATGATTCTTTTTCCCACCAGTGTTACCATGAGTTCCTGTCAAGTTTCTGAGGACAGAATTTTGCCAATAAATACTGTTTCTCTTTTACTACTGTCTAAAACTGCTCCTCTTTTTGCTGTGCAAATTACCCAAAACTCAACAATATTAACACAGAACTTTTACATTCTTCTCACTCACAAGACAATTGCTGGTACTCTTTCCTGAGCTCTTGCCTAACCAATTTTTAAAAAAACATTTTAAAATTTTAAAAATTCCCCATTTTCCTACAAAATTGTTCAACTTATCCAATTACATAAACTATGATGGTTGCTACTTGAAGAGTATGAAGCCCTAAATGGGTTTTTGTGTCTTAACAAATGTCCAGTCCAGCTGTGCATACTATATCAGTATGCTTTGCTTTTCAAACAGAAAGGACAGTGAAGATATTTTAGATGAATTACAGAGACCTGGAAGGGAGCTTCACTCCCAGCTCCCTAGTCCTTCAGGCACTGACTCAGAGTATCAACAAATTCACTGATAATGGATGAAAAAAAGAGATGGAGCTGTTATGTCATCCTCATATTTGGGACAGTGCATCTCAAATTTCCAGAGAAATCCCCCCCACTCCGTCTAAGTGATAAACAGGATGTGAGACAAGACCAAACCCTGAGAAATACTATATATACTCAAGAGGTCAAACCAATCTCCACCATATCCATGCTGGGAAATGGCCATTTAGGAAGGACCAGCACCTTGTGAGCAAACTGGCTATAGTTTGCATCCTTGAATTCTGAGCCTGACCAGTAGAACCAACATGGATGCATTCCTCCTGTCTTGCTCCCGAGGTGCAAAAGGGAACATCAGAATCTTTACATTAGAGCTCAGTAGGGCCTTAGAGCCAAGGAAATCTTTACACTCCCATCCCTCCAATGCAATGCACTTACCAGAATCTTTGCAACCAAATTTAACATTTGGGTCACAGACATGAGTGACACCCTCACAGTTCTTTTCATCACTAGAATCCCTGCAACCAGTATCACCATCACAATGCCAACGCATGGGAATGCAGAGGGCATCCAGCCGGCACTGGAACTCATCAGTATGGCAGCCTCCAGGTGGCCGTGTGGCTGGGAATGGAACAAGAAAGAGGTTGCATGCAAGGGGCTCAGAGAGCTAGAGACTAATTCTGGACAGCACCTTTATCCTGTTAAGATGGGTGGACAAAGGTAGCTGGCATAATAAGCCAAGGAGTTGATGCTCTCACAAGTGCAAGTGGAGCCCACGTTTATCCTTGTTGCCCTCTCAAGTCTCAGCAAACTCTACAGAATGAGAAAAGGAAGACACTCAAAACACTGGCTGCCTGCATCTATAAGAACTTATCCATGCTTCCAGATCAGCATCAGAGAACCTACTCACTTGTTTACCTTTAGTATCTGTTTGTTAGAGGGCAGAGACTGCAATTTCAGTCCAGCTCTCTACTTTATGGAATAACCCAAAACATATGTACATTGGTTTCTTTGTCTGTCTGTCTCATTCTTTGTCTGTCTGTCTCATGTAATGAGTGGACTCAAGATGGCTCACAGTATTAAAGAAATAACATTTAAAACACAAAACATGTGCTGTCACCCTCCCCTCTTTAGTTGCAGTACCTCATGAGCATCTGAAACTGTACCTGTTTTGAATGGTTTTTAAAAGATGAGGCTTATTGGTCAAGATTCACTATATTATTACTGAATTTTTCTGATTGTATATGGCTTAGGTGGATGCAGTCAAGAAAGATGGCTTATATTTATTTCAGTTCAATAATACTATAAAGGCAGTGGGCGAGGGGGTGGGAATGTAGCACAATTTTCTTAACAAAATTGACAGAAAGTCCAGCACTGCTGTATTGAGTCCTCTTTGCAAGAAGCAAAGCGTTCAGAGCACAGAGAAACTGATCATAAAAGGATCCAGTCCAGGAAAGCAATGCTTTTGTTGTTTTACGCTAATTTTGGAGTATAGGTCCTATCATTCTTTAGGCCACACAGGCTGGGCTTCTGTGCACCAAAATATCTGGAA